TGTGGTTGTAACTGCATCTTAGTCTAAGTACAGTGATTTCCTCATAAACATGGTCAAATCATTTTGTGGTAAAACCAAGAGAAAGTACATATAGTATACATGACACAGTACAGCACTAGACAGATTTTTTATAATAAACACTATTTAGGAAAAATGAAATGCATGTTTTTCAAATATAATTTTTCAAAGATCTAAATCTATTACAAAGGCATATATCTTTAAAGAAATAAAACTTTACAAATTTTTTAATATAAAGAACAGTGCACTCAAAAAAAAGAACCCAGTGATCATTCCATTCACTATCTTTCCACAGTTTTCTTGAACTCCTCTTTTGAACTCAATAGCATCTGTTGGATAGTATTATAATTCCCTATGGAGTAAGAAACCAGAAGTTATCTATAAATTTCCATGGACGATTTTACAGTTCATTATAGAGTAGGGAAGTAGATAATACCTATACATTGTCAAGATAAAGTTAAGGGACTTCTGTGGTGGCACAGTGGTTAAGAGTCCACCTGCCAATGCAGGGGACATGGGTTCGAGCCCTGCTCCAGGAAGATCCCACATGCCGCAGAGCAACTAAGCCCATGCGCCACAACTACTGAGCCTGGGCTCTAGAGCCCACAAGCCACAACTACTGAGCCTGTGTCCCAAAACTACTGAAGCCCTTGTGCTCTAGGTCCTGTGTGCTGCAACTACTGAGCCCACGTGCTGCAACTACTGAAGTCCACGAACCAAGAGCCCATGCTCTGCAACAAGAGAGAAGCCACCGCAATGAGAGAGCACGCTCACTGCAACCAAGAGTAGCCCCCGCTCGATGCAACTAGAGAAAGCCCACATGCAGCAACGAAGACCCAATGCAGCCCCCCCCAAGGAAAGATAAAGTTAATATCTATATAAGACCAGCTATATTAATAAATAAAGATGGTAGCTACTTAAGTGATATATCACAGAGACTCTGCGAAAATGTTTCCTCAGCAATGCCTAAAATTCCACCATTAAAGATTACTTATTCTGCCTTAAACTATACTTAAAATATAATTACTAATGGGCAAGGTAACACCTTAAGCACTGGAAATAATATACTAGCATAAATAAATTAATTAGTGCTTTTACTGACAGCATACTTTGGTAGGAGATGGATGAAAAAATATCAAGACATAGAATGGAGAAGAATAAAGAAGATGAACTTCACCTACTATCAATTTTGAGACAGCCCAATCTGCATATTTAGATTAGATATTTGACACATAAGAGAGGTACTTCTATTGGGATATGTGTAAGAGAGATAAAATGTAAAGAATACACTAACATTCAGAAGTATAATAGAGTGTAATCAAATGAGATGGCATACAAAATATTTAACAAAGTGCTTGAGACTAAAAATTGGTGATGATGGTAATGATGATGGTACAGTTTCTGCTGTTATAATTATTACAAGATTAACTTGAATGTTGAATGTAATTGCAAGAAACAAAATGTTTGGCTTACTTTTCATTTCTTGACAGTTTTGTAAGTTTATCTTAATATGTTAAAATCTTTAAAGTGAAACCACTCCTATTCAACACAGTTTTGGAAGTCTTAGCCATGGCAATCAGAGAAGAAAAAGAAATAAAAGACATACAGATTGGAAAAGAAGAAGTAAAACTGTCACTGTTTGCAGATGACATGATACTATACATAGAAAATCCTAAAGATGCCACCAGAAAATTACTTGAACTAATCAATGAATTTGGTAAGGTTGCAGGACACAAAATTAAAGCACAGAAATCTCTTGCATTCCTACGCACACTAACAATGAAAGATCAGAAAGAGAAATTAAGGAAACAATCCCATTTACCGTCACAACAAAAAGATTAAAATACCTCGGAATAAACCTACCTAAGGAGGCGAAAGACCTGTACTCAGAAAATTACACAACGATGAAAGAAATCAAAGATAACATAAACAGATGAAAAAATATACCATGTTCTTGGATTGGAAGAATCAATATTGTGAAAATGATTGTACTACCCAAAGCAATCTACAGATTCAATGCAATCCTTATCAAATTACCAACGGCATTCCTTACAGAACCAGAACAAAGAATCTTAAAATTTGTGTGGAGACACAAAAGACCCCAAATAGCCAAAGCAGTCTTGAGGGAAAAAAACGGAGCTGGAGGAATTAGACTCCCTGACTCACAAAGCTACAGTAATCAAGACAGTATGGTACTGGCACAAAAACAGAAATATAGATCAATGGAACAGGATAGAAAGCCCAGAGATAAACCCATGCACATATGGTCACCTAATTTATGACAAAGGAGGTAAGAACATACAATGGACAAAAGACAGGCTCTTCTATAAGTTGTGCTGAGAAAACTGGGCAGCTACATGTAAAAGAATGAAATTAGAACACTACCTAAGACCATACACAAAAACAAACTCCAAATGGATTAAAGAACTAAATGTAAGACCAGACACTATAAAACTCTTAGAGGAAAATGTAGGAAAAACACACTTTGACATGAACCACAGCAAGATCTTTTTTGACCCACCTCCTACAGTAATGAAAATAAAAACAAAAATAAACAAATGACCTAATGAAACTTAAAAGCTTTTGCACAGCAAAGGAAACCATAAACAAGATGAAAAGACAACCCTCAGAATGGGAGAAAATATTTGCAACCAAAGCAACAGACAAAGGATTCATCTCCAAAATATATAAACAGCTCATGGAGGTCAATATCAAAAAAACAAACAACTCAATCAAAAAATGGGCCGAAAACCTAAATAGATATTTCACCAAAGAAGACATACAGATGGCCAAGAGGCACATGAAAAGATGCTCAACATCACTGAATATTAGAGAAATGCAAATCAAAACTACAATGAGGGGGCTTCCCTGGTGGCGCAGTGGTTGAGAGTCCGCCTGCCGGTGCAGGGGATATGGGTGCATGCCCCAGACCGGGAGGATCCCACATGCCATGGAGCGGCTGGGCCTGTGAGCCATGGCCGCTGGGCCTGCACATCCGGAGCCTGTGCCCCGCAACGGGAGAGGCCACAGCAGTGAGAGGCCCGCGTACCATAAAAAAAAAAAAAAGAAAAAGAAACTACAATGAGGTATCACCTCATACCAGTCAGAATGGCCATCATCAAAAAATCTACAAACAATAAATGCTGGAGAGGGTGTGAAGAAAAGGGAACCCTCTTGCACTGTTGGTGGGAATGTAAATTGATACAGCCTCTATGAAGAACAGTATAGAGATTCCTTAAAAAACTAAAACAAGAACTACCATATGACCCAGTAATCCCACTGCTGGGCCTATACCCTGAAAAAACCGTAAGTCAAAAGGACACATGCACCCCAATGTTCATTGCAGCACTATTTACAATAGCCAGGACATAGAAACAACCTAAATGTCCAACGACAGATGAATGGATAAAGAAGATGTGATATGTGCATACAATGGAATATTCCTCAGCCATAAAAAGGAACGAAATTAGGTCATCTGTAGAGATGTGGATGGACCTAGAATCTGTCATACAGAGTGAAGTAAGCCAGAAAGAGAAAAACAAATATTGTATATTAACACATATATGTGGAATCTAGGAAAATGGTACAGATGAACCTATTTGCAGGGCAGTAATAGAGATGTAGACATAGAGAATGAACATGTGGACACAGGGGGGTAATGGAGAGGGTGGGACAAATTGGGAAATTAGGATTGACATATATACACTACCATGGGTCAAACAGCTAGTGGGAACATGCTATAAAGCACAAGAAGCTCTGCTCAGTGCTCTGTGATGACCTGGATGGGTGGGATTGGGGGTGGGGGGTGGGAAGGAGGTCCAAGAGGGAGAGGATACAGGTATACATATAGCTGATTCACTTCATTGTAAAGCAGAAACTAACACAACACTGTAAAGCAATTATACTCCAATAAAAAATAAAATAAGTTTATCACATTTTGGCCATATGTCATGAAAAAATAAATCATGTTCTTCTAAGTAGTGTGAGGTAGAAGACAGACAGCAGAAATATCTACGTAGTAAGGAAAAGGATCTTGGATTTACATTCAAAGGAGCTGGGCTCGATTCTTTACCACTTTTAACTATGGGATTCCGAGCAAGTATTTTAACGTCACTGAGCCTCGTTTTCCTCACCCATATAATAGTGCCATTGTCCTATTCTATCTTCAAGAAATATTCCAAAGCTCAAAGAATAAAATGCTTTAAAAGGATATGAATATTCTGGTGAGATTTGTAATCCTTTAGTATTATAATCAGGATTTTAATTATACACACCAAAATTTTAGAAAAGCTGTTATTAAAGACAATTTTCTTCCTCACAGAGAGCAGAGTATAGCACAGAATGTCTTACCCTAATAAATATCTTTGAATTGTAATAAAAAAAACAGCACAAGTGAAAAGCAGGTGGCTAATTAGCTATACTAACACAGCCAGGATAACCCGAGGATGCTTTTTCTGAACTACAGTTTTCTCATTTGTTAAATAATGGGGTATTAGATAATGTCAAAATTTCCTCCCATCTCTGAGATTATTATATTATCTGGAAGAATTCACTTTACTTGATTTTTTTTAACGTGAAAATATAAGAAACTAGTTTCTGAGCTAACATCTGAAGCAGGCATTTTAAAAACCTCTAAAACATGAGGGTGAATAGTGCTATCATTAGTGTTTTAAATTGTTCATGTATTTCCTGTGACATTTTAATTTTAGCACCTTGTCATGGGGATAAAGGTCTCTCCCACTGGTATATTAAATGGGTTAGAATTGTTACATTTCGAGTTATTTTTTAATCTAAATACTCCTTCACATTCTCAGGTATTACTGGATAGGCTGTTAAAGTGGCAAATTTTAAACTCTGTTGAATGAGATGGATTGTGGATAACAAGAACAACAACTACATTTGTAGTCTAACAGGTAAGAAATATGCATATGATTAGATTATACTCCTCTAAACCATACCTCATAAAACAAGAATCAAATTACCTGTCTTCCCTTAAGACCCCTCTTTCCACGGATTCCAGGAGCACCCTAGAATGTGAAAAAGTCAAAAGTAAATATTTGTTCCCTTCTTTGATTGGGCTGCTTGGTTTTTTGATATTGAGTTGTATAAGCCATTTATATATTTTGGATATTAACTTCCTGTTAGTCATATTATTTGCAAATATTTTCTCCCATTCATTAGGTTGTTTTTTTGTTTTGTTGATGGTTTCCTTTGCTGTGCAAAAGTTTTTAAGTTTAATTAGGTCCCATTCATTTATTTTGGCTTTTATTTCTTTTGCCTTAGGAGACAGATCTAAAAAAACATTTTATTTTTGGATCTGTGATTTATGGCAAAGAGTGTTCTGCTTATGTTCTAAGAGTTTTATAGTTTCAGATCTTACTTTTAGGTCTTTAATCCATTTTGCGTTTATTTTTGTATATGGTGTGAGGAAATGTTCTAATGTTCTTTCACATGCAGCTGTCCAGTTTTCCCAGCATCCAAAGAAGACATACAGTTGGCTACCAGGCACATGAAAAGATGCTTTACACTGCTAATTATTAGAGAAATGCAAATCAAAACCACATGAGATATCACCTCACACCTGTGAGAATGGCTGTCATCAAAAAGAACACAAATAACAAACGTTGGTGAGGATGTGGAGAAAACGGAACCCTCCTACACTGTTGATGGGAAGGTAAACTGGTGCAGCCACTATGGAAAACAGTATTGGTGTTCCTCAAAAAACTCAAAATAGAACTACCACATGATTCAGCAACTTCACACCTGGGTAAATATCTGGGAAAAAGGAAAACACTAATTCGAAAAGACTCAGGCACCCTGATGTTCATAGCAGCACTATTTACAATAGCCAAGATATGGAAGCAACCCTAGAGTCCATCAACAGATGAATGGATAAATATATCCATACGTGTGTGTATATATATATATACACACATATGGATATATGTGCTTGTGTATACACACACACGCATATACACATACAAACAATGGAGTATTACATGCCCATAAAAAATGAAATTCTGACATTTGCAGCAATGTGGATGGATCTAGAGAATATTATGCTTAGTGAAGTAAGTCAGAGAAAGACAAATACTGTGTGATAATTCCACTTATATGTGGAATCTAAAAAATGAAACACACAAATGTATATAGCGAAACAGAAACAGACTCACAGATACAGAAAACAAACTAGTGGTTATCAGTGGGGAGAGGGAAGGATTGAGGGGCAAGATAGGGGTATGGGATTAAGAGATACAAATTACTATGTTTAAAATAGATAAGCAACAGGGAATTCAACAGCACAGGGAATTATAGCCATTATTTTTTAATAACCTTTAATGGAGTATAACCTATTAAAATACTGAATCAAGATGCTGTGTACCTAAAATTAATATAATATTGTAAATCAACTATACTTCAAAAAAGTAAATATTTGTTGAATCAATTAATGAGTTATTTCTTCTCAACCATCAATTTATGAAGTATGCCAAAGAGAAAAATAAGTTATCCTTTAAACTGGTGTGATATTCAGAAAAGCTTCAATGTATTATTTTAACTCAAGTGGCCCCTTTTCTTCTTCATAACAAAAATTCTGATTTTATTCAGAAATCCATCCTATCTGTATTTCCAAATGGGATCCCGTCATTCCTCTGGTGATAGTTATTTGTCCAGAGGTGGCATGCAACCACAGTTGGTACAACCAGACAAACAGGAAGTCTTATTTTCTGTACCCAACAGAAAATTACCTCCACTCTGTCTCCCTGTCTCTGGCTGGACATAAACAAAGGCATAGTTAGCCCTTGCACTGGGAATCTTGCAATAATATGAGAAACCAGCCTTAGGATAAAGCCAGCATTAGTCAAGGCAAAGCAGAGAGAAGGATAATGATATCACTGTGCTCAGGACCATATTGTGCTTAGATCCCACCTAACCTATGGGTTTCTGGTCATAAGAAGCAGCTGTAGGGCATAGTACTTAAGTACTCAGTCTTTGGAGCCAGAATATCTATGTTCAAATCCTGGCTCTGCTCTTATTACCTATATATAGTCTTAGGTAAGTGTGTCTCTCTGTATGCCTCATTTTCTTCATCTATAGTGAGAAAAATAATACTATCTCACTGGGTGCTGTGAGATTAAAGGAGCTAATTCGTATGTAGTATTTGCATAGCGCCTTGCATATAGATGTAACCATTCAACAAATCATTTGCTGTTATCATTATCATCATTTATTTTAAATTTCCTCATTTTGAAGCCAGTTTGAAATGGGATCTTCTGTCACTTGCAGTCCAAAGTGTACTAACTGATAAAATCCCTTGAGACTTATAATCACTTTTATAAGCCTTAGGGACTAAGAAATATGTCAGAACCATGTAGCTTGGGGTTTTTGTATATACAGACAAGTTAGCAGATATCAATGGTTGAAGTAATCCATTTACTTTAATTCAACAGTGTTTAATAAATATTCATCTAATATTCTCTATTGAAAAAAGAGTTCAAAGATGAGCAATATGACTCATTTCATGAGGATTTCATGCATCTTTACATAATATAGCCAAGCATTTAAGAAAAATGATTATTTTCTAAAACTTTAGTAGCTTCAGTAAATCTCAGCAGAAAACCTAAGGATAGTACAGATAGAATTATATAAGAACTTTTTCATATATACATGCATGTGTATATTATTGACTTCCAGAAAGAACTTTTTCTTCCCATTTGTTTTCAGGAGTGATTAGAACATTATTTTCTTTGGCTTTTTTCTACTTAAATATTTCATAACATAATAAGACCACCCAGTTAGCTATACCATTCATGGTTTTAGTGAGAATTTTGAAGTAGCCTAATAATATTAGGACATGGTACCTATAATAGGCAGAATATCACAAAAGGGTCCTATATTTATGATTTGAGACAATCTTGATATATTCATATAAACTAGTCAAAATTACTGAGTATGATTATAGGCATTGTGCCTATTGATAGTGTCACAGGGATCCTTGAATTCAAGATGATGACATTTTGCAAGGACATATAACTTTTGTTTATTTATTACATCAATTACTAGAAATAACTTCATTCCAACAGGTCAGGGAAGGATTGTATCATAAGCAGCACAGTAATTAACAATGTAAACTATATATACTCCTTTGGGTCTATAAGAAGCAGTTCAATTCTTTGCATGATAGATTGGAAACATCATCTGTAAGTCTGCTGTATTACACAGTAGTTAAGTGGCTTAGTTGTAGGATCACACTGAAGATATTGTTTGCAAGTGAAAGAAATGACCTGTGCGCTCACCACAGGAATATCTTCACCTCTTCTCACCAAAGACAACTAAACATTTCGATTGTCATTACAGCACATGTAAACTCTGAATGTTTCTTCTCCGTGAAGGCATTCACAAGTAACTACAAGAAAATGTGATTTAATTCACTCACTCAAAAAACTATACATTTGAAATATTCATCTAGCAAAGAATGATCTGATTTATTTTCATTTGCAAAAATCAGTTTCCAGATATCAACAAAAATTTGCCTGAACAGCACTTGTATAATAAGAGTTAAATGGTAAATTTGGAATATGATTGTTTTCAAACCTGAGAATATGCTAATATTGTTTGATTCTACTTTTTTTTTAATTAATATTGACAGTGTAGATGAAGAAATGCAGCTAGAAATCACTGAACTGCATATGGCACTGAAAACTAGGTATGACGAAGCTGGAATGCCAGAACTCTGTATGTACCTCCGTTAATTTTTATAAGTGTAACAAACCATTTGGCAAAGATTCTACTTTATTCACAAGTACCTACATTTATGAACAGCTATCTTCCACTATTAAACAAAAAAATATATCTTTTGAAGTTGATTTATTACACATTGCATTGTAAAATACAAACCCTGCCAAGAGTTTCTACTCAAAGATCAATTTCAAAATAAAAGTTTAATAATTAGATAATAACAATTTGTGTTTTTTAAAAGTTAAATTTAAAGTTGCTAACCATAAATATTTATATCACCTCGCTTACCTAAAACACAATTCAGTAAAATTTAAGAGAGTTTAATTATAATTCTGGTAGGTGACTTTTCTTAAAGCTGGCTTGTTTCACTGCCTGACATCTGCCTTTATGAGCCCTGTTATACTTTATCCTAAGTATATCACGTTAGAAATAATATTTGAAGGAAATAGACTTACTCTTTCTCCTTCAGGTCCCAGTTGTCCTACTTCTCCAGGAGAGCCAGTGAAACCCTTAAAGTAAGCAAATAATCTTTGTATTATCTCACTTAAATATTCACCCTGTAAATAATTCTAAATAGAGATACTTTAAATTTATTCCTAGTAATATGAAATGATAAGGCATAACAGTTTGGATAATCTTGTGTCTTTTCTTCTAGAAATTACAGTTCAATCTTTTCATTTAAAAAAAAAGTAGGAAATGTAACTTAAGGCATAGTGGCTAATAAAAATCAACAAGCCCAAATTCTTTTCTACATTGAATATTACAAAGGGCAGAAGACACAGATATACAATTAACTAAATTGTAAGGCAGAATGGAGGTATCCAAGGAAAAGAAGTATGGAGGAGGAAGAGATACATTCCAATGTGGCAGGAGGTAAAAGCAGTCAGAGGAGGTTTCAAAGGAGACTGGCACTTGACATAGGCCTGTGGAGTAGATAAAGTCTTGATAAGCAGAGGATGGAGAAAGAACGCTCCAACCAGCACTACAGTAAGCAGAGACAAGATAGAGAGGACTCTGGGAGCGTTTGTAAATGGTTAACTGGCAGTTTCTTATGTGTAAGATGCTTTGGAGAGAAGCAGACCCATTGTGCCCTCAGGGAGATTCCAATAGGTCTGAAAAACAAGGAGTAAAATAACAATGCAAGCTACTCTATACTACCATACTTTAGTTAGATCTCACCTGTGGCAAATAATAACGTGTTTCATCCATTTAATAAAGTGTATAGTAGTTTAGAGAATGGATTAAGGAGAGCCTTAAATTTCAGACTAAGAATTTTAGACTTTATAGTTTAGATGAGAAGCTACTGGACTTTGGGGGAGTGTGGTAGTGCCCTGATGTTAAGCTGTTTTTCTAAAATATTAATCTGTGGACAGGATACAGAATACACCCAAGACAGGAAACACTGAATGTAGGAAAATGTGTTAGAATGCTGTTTCAATGGTCCAAATTTGAAGGAATATGAGTCTGGGTCACTCATTCACAAAACATCATTTTAGTGCCCACTGTGTGCCAAGAATTGGAATTATAAAAATGAATATGAAAATCAGTGCCCTCAAGAAGTTCATAGTTTATTAGGAAAAAGAGTCATACAAATAATTGTAATATCATAAGATAATTGTGACATGATTATGTGATGTGATAAATACAAGATACAGAAGCTTTGAAGGCAGAATGACCAACTTTGCCCAGAGGGAAGATTTAGGAAAGTTTTACAGACGAGGCAACATTTAAGCTGAGTCTTGAAGGAAAGGAAAGGCATTTTATTAGCAGGGCTAACAATGAGTCATCAATCAATCAATCAAAATAAAATGACATGGCATTTTCACAGAATTGCAAATAGTTCTGTGTGACTGGTAGGCAAGAGTGGGGGTTGGAAAGGCAACTGTGGCTACATCATGAAAAGTCTTTTATGTGATGATGTAAAGTTTGGGATTTACACTGAGTCATCAAAAAAAATTTAGACAGTTTTGATATAATCAAATTTGCAGTTTATAGAATTCATTTGGATTACAGTGGTTCAACTGGCCTTTGTATCTACCTCTAGGATTAAGGCAAAGATGCTTCTAAGGTTTATACTGGACTGATAAGCAAATGGTAACCACTGATAGAAATATGGAAAACAAATAGGAAAGCTAATAGTTTAGTAGAAAGAGGATGAGTTCTGTTAGTCATTTTGAGATTATGGTGATGAGGAAGCATTTAAATTTAATTATCTTGGCAAGGAAGTAGAGATGTGGGACTCATAGAAAGAGCTCATAGAGTGATATACGATTTGAAGGGCAGATGGGCCAGAAGACTTAAGGGTAGAATAGAGAGCTCTTAGGAGGAAACAAAGCGAAATTTCCCTGAACCACTGAGAGGTTGAAATGGATGGAGATGGGAGAAGAAAAATGCTTTTGTGAACACAGAGGAAACCCAAGGTATAAAAGAATTTGAAGAAGAGATACAGGCCATTTTGACTAAATTCGAAATAAAGTCTACTTATTTTGACTTAGAGAATGGGTGCCTTTTCAGAGTAAATTTTTCCATAATAGTATACATTAAGAAAGAACTCAAGTTTTAAAAAAGTAAATGTCATTTGTACACCTAGAACAGCATTATTCACAATAGCCAAAAGGTGGAAGCAACCCAAATATTCAACAGATGAAAAGACAAACAAATGTGGCATATACATACAATGGAATATTATTCAGCCTGAAAAAGGATATCTTGATGCATGCCACGAGGTGGATGAATTTCAAAGACAATCATGCTAAGTGAAATAAGCCAGTCATAAAAGGAGAGATATTATATGATCCCACTTAAATGAAGTACATAGAGTAGTCAAACTCATAGAGACAGAAAGTTGAATGGTTGCCAGGAGCTGGGGGGAAGGGAGAATGGCGAGTTACTGTTCAATAGATATAAAGTTTCAGTTTGGAAAGATGAAAAAGTTCTGGAGATGGACGGTGGTGATGGCCGCACTGCAACGTGAATGCACTTATTGCCTCCCGCTATGGACTGAATGTTTATGCCCCCTCAAAATTCATACATTGAAGCCTAATCCCCAATATGATGGTATTTGGAGGTGGGACCTTTGGGAGGGAATTAGAGCCCTCATGAATGGGATTACTGCCCTTCTAAAAAGAGATATGAAAGAAATATGATTGCTCTCTCTGCCACATAAGGATACAGCAAGAAGGCAGCAGTCAACAAGCCATGAGGTGGGCCCTCATGAAACACTGGATCTGCCTTCCCAGACTGAAGAACTGTGACATATAAATGTTTGTTGTTTAAGTCACCCAGTCTATGGTAATTTTTATTATAGCAGCCTGAACTATGACACCAGTGAACTTACATTTAAAAATAATTAAAATGGTGAATTTTATATTAAATATGTATTACCACAATTTTTTTTTTTTTTAAATAAGTGTCTCAGGAATCATTTCCAAGTTTCCTGGAATAAGAACCATGGGGAGCATTTAGTTCTTGAGGGTGAAAGCTAGTTGGGTGTTGCCATAGTAAGACAAGCACTTTTCTTTGACAAGGAAAAACACCTTTAAAATTCCTATGTTCTACAGAGTGTATGAATGAATAAGTAAAAAATAAAAGAGAAAAAATAGTTTCCTTCTAATTAACTTTAATGATAAAACATCTATAATTTGTTTGCTTGAAAGCCAAGCATCTGAAGGATGGGGAAGGTTTCTTTTAAAATGAAGCATCCAAAAGTATTTCTGATACCAGAGCGTTTACGATTATGATGACAAGCTACATGTACTTTCAGAAATATCAACTACAGGTGGCCTCAAGTTTAAAAACAGTTAACTTTTGTTTTAATATACACAACTGGAGTTTTGCTTATAAACAAAAAGAACAAACACCCTAACTGATGTACACTTCTCATAAACTAAATACTCAACTGAAAACTCAGGAGCTAAACCTCTACTCAACAAAGTCTGCACAGAGTACCAGCACAATATTTTACAAGTTGTTTTTTTTTTTTTTTTTTTTTTTTTTTTCGGTACTCGGGCCTCTCACTGTTGTGGCCTCTCCCGTTGCAGAGCACAGGCTCCGGACGCGCAGGCTCAGCGGCCATGGCTCACGGGCCCAGTCGCTCCGCGGCATGTGGGATCTTCCCGGACCGGGGCACGAACCCGTGTCCCCTGCATCGGCAGGCGGACTCTCAACCACCGCTCCACCAGGGAAGCCCACAAGTAAAGATTTTAAAGGGAACAATGCTATGAGTAATTATGTAGGTGTTTCATAAAGGTTTCTTGATAATTATTATGCTGATTCTAACAGAAATAAAATGTCAGCTGCATCCACCAAAGAAATCATATGGGGTTGTGGTCATTCTCAAAACACTACCACTAAATTGGAGTTTAGTGTGTAATGAAACAAGGAACATAAAAAATAATAAGGGACTTCCCTGGTGGTCCAGCAGTTAAGACTCCACGCCTCCAGTGCAGTGGACGCGGGTTTGATCCCTGGTCAGGGAAGTAAGATCCCACACGCCACACAGACAAAAAAATAAACAAAAAATTACACAAAAAACACATACGTGTTTGCTTTTTTGGACTGAAGGTTGTATATCCAGGTAGAGGCAATTTTGTGTCACCAGGAGGGCCACTAAAAGGTTGGGGGAGGCCTACATACTTCTACTTTTTGAGCCACCTAGCATGTTATTACACAAAGAAACACCAAAGGAGGGTTACAAAATGATTTATTTTAAACATTTACATTTTAAAAATAATTATCTTAACACCAAAAAATGCAGTCAAACAATGGTGCCAGTCAAAAGGTAATTTATCATGATTTATAAAAATAGTAATTCATATTGTATAGCATGTGGTATAGTCCAGTAACAGGACCCAAATTAAATGAAAAACATAATCCTGTCAGTGTGATTTTATGATTTTTGTCTTTTTAACCATATTTGGAGTTAATGTCTAAAGTCTACATTTGAGACTCTTCGTGAATATGAAACCTAGAGAAGTGACTCTTCTGACTCTTCCCTCACTCCCAAAGGAAAATTAAAGGATTAAATCAATTAAATTAGTCAGAAAAGGATGAGATTTGTTTTTTTTAATGCTTTTATGAAGTCGGCCATCAAAACCTAAAAAAACTTAAAAAGGGTTACAACCTACACTATAATTTTCAGTACAAATGGGGAAAAAAGCAACAAAAGGATGTATAATATAGTACAAAAATGATATAAAGAAGAATTAGAAAAGCTATAGGAATCACTGAAGCAAGATGAGAAAATGTAGTAAGAGAAAACTGCACAGTGCCAAGTAACTCCAAGGTCTAGGAGTTTAGCTCACATGCAGAAGAAACTCCCAAATTCTAATAATAATGATAAAATCTGCATAGAAAGTGCATGCCATGTGCTAGGCACTGTGCCTTAAGAATATTAATTAAGCTCAGGTAGTTCTCATAACCACCTAAAGGTAGGTTTCATTATCATCTTTTAATAAGGTAAGAAAAATGAGACACAGAAGGGTTGACATTTAAGGTCACAAAGCTAGTAAACAAGGGGTTAAGAAAAAAAAAAAAAAAAAAAAAAAAAGCGGTCCTTGTCTAACTCCAAAGCCCATGTTCTTTGTCCACTAATCTCTTCTTGCTTTCCAAATCCAAGTCAATATGTGCTTTCGGTGCAGTTTCTAATAAAGAATACATGACTTTTCCCCATTATATTTTCACTTAATGCAAGGGTGGAGACAGCCTGGGATAGTAAAACAGTACGGAGCTGAAGGTGAGAAGACGCTGGTTTGAGTTCTGCTATGACTTTGTCAAATCATGTCGGTTCCATAGCTTACTGTTTTCTCATCTGTAAGATGGAGACAATACACGTGTTCTGCTACTTCATTGGATTGATAGCAAAAGAAATATGAAGTATTTGAAAATGTTTAAGAATTTTTTTTAAATTAAGGCATCACTATAGTACATACTAAGTACTTTTTGTTTTCCTTATTTCAAAAAGGTATTTAAGATAATATAAGGCAGATGTAGATTTCAGAAAATAACTGGCTATTAAAAATAGAGAATTAAAAAAAAAAATTTTAGTTTACTAATTTTTCCTAGAACCAGCTTTGATTTTAATTTGTGGCACACAACATAACACATCACAGTAATTTTTTTTGTTTTACTCCCTTAATGATTAAAAGTGGCTAACAACTGCTTTAACGGTTGGAAGTGCAATGGTATATGCTTGAATGTGATAAGCCTATTTCTTTCTCTGCAGATATTTCTTTACTCCAGATAGTCTTTGTATTATTATCTCAGCCTTGAGTGCGAATTTTTTGCCTCTTCATATTTCTTTCACCATTATTTCTTAGGTCTATATACGTCCACACATAAATAATACTACAAATGCTTAAAGAGCATATTTTCAACATACCAGACGTTTTGCTAGGAGCTAGCAAAATAAATGATGTAGATGTAGGAGCTATCAAAGAATGATGTAAAACCTACCACCATAAGACTGCTCTCTATGGCCTTAACAGTGAAAATATCTATTTAATAAGTGTGTTTCTTTCCAGGCTAAACCTGCATTACATTCAAAGTTTCTATGGAAGTGTGAAAATAAGTATTTTGTACACTTCATTCTACTCATATGCAAGCATACTTAACAAAATGATGAAAATGCTTACTTACTCGTACACCTTCAGGTCCTGGATTACCTTCTGGTCCAGCTAAACCCTAGTGTGAATAAAAGGCATCATCATCATACTACAGTACTTTTTAAAGAGTTGTAGATAAATAGATGAATAAAAAGGGCATATAAAATGTATCATTTCACAAGCATAAACTTCAGAACTCTGTATACTTAATGAAGACTATATACATTCAAGGAATTTTAGAATTTCAGAACCAAAAGAGGCACTGTATATAATCTATACACGAATATATTTTAGATATCTAAATAAAGTAGATTAACACATTGTCAGTAACAAAAATTATTTTTTAAGTTATTTCTTATTGGAAAACTGTGTTCTTTTAAAACTTTTAATTAACTTATCTAAAATACATTTTAGATATATAAAAATATAAAAATATATTTTATATAAATGTAGTTTTCTAGTATGCTAAATGAATAATTAATTTCAAGAGTAAGTAATCAATTCATGAAAGCCTAAGAAAGAAAATTTGTTCTCTTATTAATCTACATGAAGTAGCTAGAGAAAATTAGAAATTAGAGGGAAATAAATATGAAATGATTAGAATGAATTTTCACAACAGTATTACAAAGACTTGAATCCAGTTCAGATAAAAGTATTCAGATAGTGGTATGTGTAGCGCTGCCAACTGTGTCCCAAGTGTTTATAGTTGTATTATTAAAAAATGTTGCTTATCATATAGAGTCTTAACTCGTACCATTACTTCGTTTTAGTCAGTAGCAGTACTGTAAAATCAGTAGCAGGGCTGTTTTAACATTTTATTAGCCCACTGGGCATTTTAACTTAGAAGGCTCCATTGTATATTACTCACATCAAACCTGTTTAAAAATCCTACTCCCATTTTAAGCAAAATTTCCTGCAGTAAAATTTTTGAAGGATTTTTACAATTTTGATATTAGAATTTTTGGAATTATTTTGCTATGAGTAATTCATTATTTAATAAAAGTAAACCAATTATCATTTGAACATTAACTCTTGAAATCAGAACATACAATGTATTAACCAAGAGGAACATAAAAACAGAAGTTTAAATATAGTTACCTCACCTGCCTGCCAGGGTAACCACGTGAACCAATATTACCAGTGAATCCTGGAATCCCCTAAAATGAAAAATAATAAAACAATACAACAAAGTCAAAAGAAACCCAAGGAAACAAAATTGGTGCATTCATAATACCCAAGTTTGGAAAGAATATTTTTTCCATATAAAAATACTAAGGGTCCTGCACATTGCTTATCTGCTTGAAGTCATCTATTTAAAATGAAAAAGATAAAATTGCTAAATAAAAATAAACACATTACATTAGGGACCTAAATGAGATACTGATTATTAGTAATGATAAATCTAGGGTGGAAAAATCCAGTGATACATAACCTTTAAAAAATGTATTAGAGAAAGAGTTGGTACGTTTCGTAATAACAAGTATCTTTATGGATTGAACTCCTTCTTGTTTCAGTCATCCTGCAACTCTCCTTAACTATTGGAGCATGAGCTCCAGAAGATAAGTAAATGGATATTAAGTGGTAAATATCTGTATCATGACATAGGTCTATCTAAAAATTCACACAGCAACTTTGGATGGGAAATTCATTTTGCACTGACAACTTTGTATGCCTGATTTAAAACAAGGATTGCTCAAGGAAGGCTGATATATGGAGACTCAAAGGCATAAGAAAGGAAACTTGCTGCAGAACTGTGTGGAAAAGTGAGAAGAAATACCTCCACTCGCTGTTACTTTCTTCCATTGATATATGATTCATTCATTCATTCATTCAGTTTATTCAAAGTTTAGGTCTGTTAAATAATTTGTGAACCAAGGAAATACCAGAAGAATATGTGTTGAGCTGTCTTTACTTAACCACAAATGGTGACAGCAGTGATAAGTTTTATAGATTCTTTATTATGTAAAATTCATTTCCGGTTTGTTGTTTGGAAAAGAGATAATAAAAGACACTAGCTCTTTTGCCCCTCTGATCTGAAGTATACAGAAGAGTGTTTCCTCCGGTTTAACAATAGAAATACTTTGAAATTCCTAAAATTTGGAAAATCTAGAGAAAACACAGACCAAGAAAAAGGCAAATGGAGCATCACAGTGGAAAGTTTTTACCCTCCCATTCCATTAGACTTGTAGGCTCCTAATTTGTCCTTCTCTCCACTTTTCTCAGAATCCATCTCTCAGTTTTGTTTTCTCTCATTTCTCCCTGTTGTCTCCCACTTCCTTTCCTTGCTCCAACAATTATCATTTACTTAGCACTTTTTTATGTGCCAATCCTATGCCACCACTTTACGTCTACTTTACATCTGTGAGATAGATACTATTTTCTCCATTTTACATTTGAAGAAACTAAGATACAGAAAAGTTACGAAACCTGCCCAAGATGGCACAGTGAGTAAGTAGCAGAGCCTAGATGTGAACTCAGACAATCTGACAAAAGTTGTCACGTGTGTGTATGCACAAACACACATATATATACATGTGCACACATACATACATATATACATATATACATATACATACAGACACCTATACATATATATGGCAATGAACAACTTAACAGAATGTGAATAAACAGTTGCCTTCTGAGAAGTAACAAAACATTTTCATCTACATGTAGAGAGATTATATCCTATAAATCTCAGAAACCATATTTATGTACTAGATATTACCTTATTAATATTATATATAATACATATTTTATTCCTATAACAGCATTTATTGAGCATCTATCATGTGCCAAAATTCAAGAATTTTATATGTATTATCTTATTTAATCTGCTCAAACCCTATGAGATAGGTACCATTATCTTTATGTTACAGATGTGAAAAATAAGACATGAAGTGTTTGTCACCAGTGGGAAGTCACTCAGCTAGTAAGTAGAAAGCCAGAATTTAAATCAGCAAGTCTAACTCCAGAGACCACCATTCAAGGCTGCCTCCCTAGTATAGGTTTGAAGTGCAAATAACTTAAAGTAGTACTCTAGGGAAAGTCCTCTAATTATGAGACTTGCTTCAGTCTATTTACAACTGCTTCCTTTATTCCCCATCCAATTCTAAAACACACAGGCCTATATCCAGACATCCACAAAACCTTATACTTGGTTATGCCGATAGAAAAGACTGAAATAAATTTAAAAGGCTGTTTTTATTCTGTAGGTTCTGGCTAATGCCAATCACCATCTCTTTCATTAGTTTCCTAGCCAATTTCGGTTAACTGATCTCAATTAAAAAGCAACCTGTTATAAGACATAAATGAAATCTGATTTTGAACGGATTCTCATAGAGGGTGTTAAGACAACATGTAGAGATATAACACATTCCAGTGGCACAGAGAAATACACAAGAGGACACCACTGGATGACTAAATCCTGCTCTACTGGAATAACAGTAAACAAAGGCAACGAGTAAGCTTTCAGTAGTCTTATGTGGCACAAACATATTCTAAGTCAACCACACCCTAAAATCACTTGGACAACCAGAGCAGCTCAAAAGAAACTCAAAACAAAGCACTATACCTCAATTCACTCTGCATTTAAAAAATGGCTCACTTAAATCTGTAGATCGAATGGAGGAATTCAGACACAAAGTTATATCTCTACCCCTGGAAAAATCAGGAATAGTAAACCTGACCCAATCCCACTTCTCACTCTGAGAATTAAAGCACACGCTCTGAGTCATTCAGACTTCACTGAGAGTCCCAGCACTGCCAGCATGGATCCTCCCTATCTCTTAGTTTTTTTCATTAGTAAAATACAATAATAATATCTAGGTCACAGGATTATTGCGTAGAGAAAAGAGAACAATGTGTAAAAATATATTTAAAAGCAGGGGTAACTGCAATAATTCTTAGTGTTGTGGAGTATTAAATGAGTTAACATATGGAAATACTAAATAATTATACTACTGGAAGTTCCAGTTAACAGTAGTACAGTTTGTCAACTAATAAAGACTCCGTAAATGAAAGCTCTTATTACTAGAGCTTGCCCAGATGATATAATTACTTTCCTAAGTGTTTGCTGGCCACTTTATAGATATCTACAAATTTTCCAGAAGGGAATGTCTCCTAGCTAATTAGTTACATTCCTCTTAATGTCCACAGTGTTTCCACAGTGAAAATGCAAAATGATTTTAGTTGTTCCTCACAGTTATCACCAATTTTGTCTTTTTTCTTCTGGAAATAAATAAAATAGAAAGAACTGATTCCAATAATACATTTTCCAACCTTTAAAACTGATCTCAGACTCTTCTCAAAAGCATACCACCCTCAGAACAATGACACATATACTAACAGAACTAGGTTATAGAACAGTTGCGAGTAAACTGGTCAGTACTGACAAATGGTCAATTTTTCACTTACTTGTGATGTGTCAGGTTTTCTTCATTGAAATCTACACAGAATTTCTGCCAAAGCAGTATTCTAGGGATTTTTTTTTTCCTCCCCAGGAACTAATCCCGCCTGCCCTTCTGATTTTTTTTCCCATAAATGCTCAAATGCTTTTCAGCACTCATATGATCTTCAGGAAACTGAGATTTTACTTGCTACAGATACATATATTGCTTGCCGTGTCTAGTAATTAGCAATCTTGAAAACTTGTGCCTCAGGGACTGAATAGAGTGTATTGTCCCTCTTACATGAATAAAAGAGAAAACTGGCTTTATTTCTTCATTTATCTTTCCCTCAGGGATAATCCATCACTTTTCTTTCTGGAGCTCCCTTTAGGGTTTCCTGAGGCTCTTTGCTAAATCTCCAATAACGATTTGTCACCTTAGTTAGTATCTAATCTCCTACGCTTTTCACTGATTTATTCATACTGGCCTAGTATATATTCTATTGAAACCAAGAGATATGACTTTATTTCTTCCTATGACATAATGATACATTATTTTATGGTGGGAGAGAGAAGGAATAACATGATCAAAAACTAAATAGTTCCCAAACTATTTTGACTTTTACATATACGTGTATGTGTAGAATGGACAACAAACAGCAGATGTGCCATTCTAATTTGGATTGTTATTAAAATTTATTTGCATTCCTTCATGCAATGGTAGGGAACTAACAGCTGTGGATAGACTTTGGAAAACAGGAAAGCCCCTGAGACGTACAAAAAAATCAGTGCATTTGTGTATGTGCATATGAGTGTGTGTGCATGCATGGATAATCTGCGGACAGGATACACAGCATTTATGAGATTCTCACAGTGGTTTATGAACAACGGAAGTTTAAGACTGCTGTTCTGGAGCATGTTAGGCAGACAGTGAAAGTCAGTCTAAGATATGAAAAAAACCCACAAGATTTAATAGATAATAAATTAGAAGTTTTTCTTGTACTAAACAGAGTAAAAAACATTAAGAAAAATTGAAAGAGTTACATGGGGGAAAATAAGCTCTCAATGGAGTCCCCTACCATGTGTCTTTTTCACTGGAGAAGACGCAAGTCTTTTTTTTTTTTTTTTTTTTTTTTTTTTTTGGTTGCGGAGCACAGGATCCGGACGCGCAGGCTCAGCGGCCATGGCTCACGGGCCCAGCCGCTCCGCAGCATGTGGGATCTTCCCGGACCGGGGTACGAACCAGTGTCCCCTGCATCGGCAGGCGGACTCTCAACCACTGCGCCACCAGGGAAGCCCAAGATGCAAGTCTTATAAAGGAAGAATACTTACTTGTTCACCTCGGAGTCCTGGGAGCCCTGGATGTCCTTTGAGACCCTGCAAGGGTAAAGGTGAAGACATACTATGAAAAGTAAACCCATTTGAGCCAAATAACTAATCACAGTTGTCTTTCATCCCAACTTTTGGTTTTCCCATTAATACAAATGTAATTCTTACTAATCTATTTCTTACTAAGTGTAATCTTTTAAATTTAATAAAAATTTAATTTTTATTAAATAATAAATTCGTATTAGTAATTCTTAATTAATTTGGAGTGTAATTTGAATGATTTGTTATCAACTAAAATGGTTACATAGTATTGAATTTAAAAAACAGCATCTTTTATAAAAGGCTGGCATCTAGCAATGAATCTGCTAAATTTTGCTTAAGCTTTTTAGAAGTTGGTTTTAGTTCATTAATGCTGAAACAGAATGCCCTCAGGCATAATCTGTTTGTAATTATTGAAAAACTGGCAGTTTCAGGCAGTTTCTCTAATCTAAAACATTGTCAGAACATTCTATGAATGAGCGAATAAAAAGAGGCTGCTCACAGGTCCATCAAAAGGGATTTATAAAGCTGTCTAAGAAATCAGTAACAAATGTTATAGATCAATCATACCTCAATAAAAAAAAGAAATTAGTAACAAAAAATTTTCCAAATAAGAACCAAAATCAAATCTTAATTTCTATCATTAACACCCAAAGATATAAAAGAGATAATAACTTTTATCCTCTAGAAAGATATTCTATGAGCGAAAGAAAGGAAAGGAAGAAAGAAATAAAGGACACTTTGGAGCATATTTGTACAGCTCTAATCAACAATCAGTAAATCAATCTGCTGTTTACTAGATTTTGGTGTATATAAAAGAACAAGAAAAAGTTCCTTTTTAAAAGAATCTTTTAGGATTTTAAGCAGACCTCAAAAACCTGAAATAAATTATAGTTAGTTTACGAATATCAGAAACTTCAAATTAATGTACTGCAAACTGAAGATAAGTTTTTGGGGTTTTAAGATACAGAGTAACAGAGTGAAAAGAGTCATTCAGGATTAAACCCTATCACGGAGGGTTTATGAACTTGGATCAATGAATTAGAGAAGGAAATGATACTTTGGGACAATGGGGAAATTAGAAGAGGTACCTATTTGAAAAATAAGGAAATGATTTAAGCAGGTTTTGAGGTGATAAACTTAAAACAAAAGTAAATGTTTAAATAGAGAGGTCTCTTGGGAACCAGAGAGAAGACCAGAAATGTAAGAAGGAAAGTTGGAGACAAAAATTTTTGTATTATCTACATATGTAAGCATATTTGTAACAAGGGAATAACAGAAGGAAAAAGCAAGGGGGCAGAGGAAATGCCCTGTCCTCTGGGAGCTCTGTTCTTTCATGATTAGGCTATTAGAGATCAGAGAAGTGGCCATGAGCAAGGAGGGGGGAAAAGGAACGAAGGCACAAAGAAATTTCACTGAGCCACTATGTACCAGACATTGCACCAGCCACTTCCAAATACCTCACCCAATTCTATGGCAATCCTATGAAGCAGGTATCTTCCTCATTTTTACAGATGAGAAAACTGAGCTCTGAGAAATTAAATGATATGGCCAAAGTCATGTAGGTAGTAAGGTGGAATCATGTCAGTTTGACAGTTAGATTTATTAAGAATTGAGTAACCTGCCCTTCTGTTTACTTAATATGCCTATATTTGCCTCAGACTCGAATGCAGGCTGTCCTCATTCTCATCAAATGTTCAAACATTAATTTTAGACAACCAAGACAAATCAACAAAAGGAATTATATATCATAAATCACGGTATTATTAAAGTTACACATTTACCACTAGCATCTTATATACCCACAATTTCACTGAGTTCATACATTTTTTAAGATAGCTAAAGACCAGCCTAATTACAAAATAGAAGACGTACACTGTTCTCAGTTGTCCAAATGTTACACAAGATTCTCCAAATAAAATATCCACAAAGCTAAGTTTTTTCACTTTTAATAACGGGAAATAAGAAATGTCCTCAGCACTAAGATAGTGGTGGTGGCTCCCTCAGATGAGGCAGCAGCTCTAGAAGGATGGAGTTCCTAAGAGAGTGTCAGGAAGATGAGAAATGAGGAACCAGGGCGAGAGGTACACAGGTAGAGAAACTCTCTGCCATGGGCCTAGTTCCTTTTCTTTTTTATTAAAAACTGTGCTTATAGGGGCTTCCCTGGTGGCGCAGTGGTTGGGAGTCTGCCTGCTGATGCAGGGGGCACGGGTTCGTGCCCCTGTCCAGGAGGATCCCGCGTGCCGCGGAGCGGCTGGGCCTGTGAGCTGTGGCTGCTGAGCCTGCGCGTCCGGAGCCTGTGCTCCGCAGTGGGAGAGGCCGCAGCAGTGAGGGGCCCGCGTACCGGAAAAACTAACACAAAAACTGTGCTTATATATTTACTTACTTGTTTTTATGTCTGTGTACTGCTGAGTCTAGCTAGCTACATGCTTCCCTTTCTTTGGCCACTATCTGTTTCTCTGACCAGAGTTTCTTCCCTCCGCAGCCCTGGTGAAACAGAATGCTGTGGTGCTACAACTTCTTTAGCTTACTTTCCCTGAAGCAGTTTATAACAGTTAACTAGACATGTTGATCATAATATCCTCTGAATGTACAACTCCCTCTGAAGAGATTCTTCCTCATCCACAGACTCTAATATAAGGGCAGCACCAAATAGTCATGAGCTCCCTCCTACTCCACCTCAGCCCCAGGAGATGGCATTCAACCTAAGGGAAGCCAATATGAAGTCTGGCCAGTAGCCTATGAGGCCACTTGGAATGGAGAGTTTTGCCTAAACAGGGTGAAGCTGGGCCAATGAAATTCTTTTTTAAATTAAGTTCAACAGGAAGGAAGGAAGGAAGGAAGGGAGAGAGGGAGGGAGGATTGATTCAGGTACTTAGCTGAAGCTAGGAAGACTGACAAAGAAAGGATAAGAGGAAGAGAAGAAAGCCAAAGTATGAGTAAAAAATTTAGAGTAAGCAGAATCTATGCTGAGAAAGAAAGTTTTTGTCAGAGGAAAAGCCAGATAACACAAAAGGGCAGATGCAGAGAGAGGAGATGAGTAGCAGTGCTAATAGAAAAGTACAGTAAAAGATCCACAAACTAATGTTGCTAGATACTCAGAGCTGCTTTGAATCAGTGCCCGCCCCCGCGAGGCTAAGTCATATTATAGTACCATTTTTAGATTCCATGGGTCCCTGATTTCCCTTAATGCTGTAGAGAGGACTGAAATAATTCTCTCTTCCTTGGGATAGCCTAAGTCTCCATTCTTTGCAATCAAAAGAGCTGAAGTGAAACAAAATGGTTTTGGTTTGCTTTGGTTTACTACTACTACTAATGAAAAGACCAAGCACACTGAGCTCTAGATCCAGTTTCGCCACTAAATAGCTATATCATGAGTTTCAAAGTCTTCATCTGTAAAATGACAGCAATGAGTTAAACTACTGCTAAATCTCCTTTTAATTGCCAGCATTCTGCAATTAGTTGAATCTGTTAAAGTCACTACTTTTTTTTTCACCTTTCATTGAATGAAAAACAAAGGCATTTATAGAGTCAATTCAGGCTTTGAGGCATTGGAAGAATTCAAGTAACACTGATGTATCACTGATGTACATATCAGAAAAAACAGATTCAGGCTCCCATGGGCATATGACCTGAAACAAAGATGGGGACTCTGGGATGAGCAGAATGGAAAGAGAATGGGTCAAGTAGGAGGCTATTATGAGAGTCTAGGAGAAACATGATTATACATTAGATTTGAGGGCAGAGTTAGAGATGATATATATGCCCCTTAAAGAGTTTAAACCAAAGCTCCTGAACTATTTTATTCAATGTGGTATCCCCAGTATCTAGAACATAGTAAGTGCTTGTTAATTAACTGATGGAAAGATTTGGATGAATAAATGAATTGATGTAAAGACTTAGAGGAATCTGAGGGTTACTTGGGGGAAAATAGATTCTAAGTATTCAATATGATATCTCAATTCTCTTAATATTGAAATGAAAGGTAATAAGTGGGAGAAAAAATATCTTGTTATTTTTCAATGTAATAATATTTTACTGTAATATACTGGCGTTAGCACCACTACTGTATAAAAGCCTCCATTTATTCCCTGATTTGTGACTACAGGTCTCATTTGTTTTCTACTTAAATACTAGTCTGTAATATTTTAAAAAACAAAGGGAATAAGTTCCTGGGAAGAATGCCTACATTCAAGCTTTGGCATAGCTCCAATCTAAGGACGTGACACTTTTTAATTTTATTTTAATTTTTTGGCCACACCGCGCAGCATGTGGAATCTTAGTTCCCCGACCAGGGATCAAACCCACGCCCCCTGAATTGGAAGCATGGAGTCTTAACCACTGGACCACCAGGGAAGTCTCCCTGACACTTTACTTTTAAAAATTTGTTTATATTGTAGTCTTTTGAAAATACTATTTGAGTCATTCTTCTTCCTATACTCACATAGGAAAAATAACAAAAAAGGCCAAGTAACTAACAATGTATGATTTTCCTCTGATAAATATACTGAAACTGATGTAAACACATTTCTTAAGGAATGCCAATAGAAAAATGTACAAGTTCTGTTTTAGAACACATTAAAAACTCATTATAATGAGTTATAGGGTTGTTTCAATTTTTGTTGTGATGTAAATTTGCCTTGCCAAGAATTCCAGTAATAAAAGGGGTTTAGAATCTAATTTTAATACAGAGATATTAATTTTAATACTTATTTTAACAACAATTTAAACCCTAACAAATATGTATGTTATCAACAGGTGACCACACAGGACCAAAAAAAAAAAAGATACAATTGAATCAAAATCAGAAATATTAAGGGATGGAAAAGAAACAAACTTCAAATATATACCTGAACTACCCCCAAGTAATTAAAATTTGGATACATAAATAAAATGTTTATCCATAAGGAAAATAGTGGTACCATTTACATACAGGGCCATCCTTGCTTTGCATGGTACTAGAGGACCATGAAACTGACCATATAAGCTGAAACCATGCCAAGCAATCT